CGCGGCGGAGAGGAGGTCGGTCGGTCTGTGTGTCTGTCTGTCTTTCTGGCTCCCTGTAATTACAGTCAACGCGGCGGGCACGCGTGTCTCGGGTGTCTCCTGTTCACCGGCAGGCAATGCCTCCTACAAAGGAGCCTGATAAATACCGAGTTGAGACCGGTTTCAGCTTCCCTCCGCGCTGCCGAGTGGGCGACGGCGTTGGAGATGGCCGGGGCCGGCCCGCTCCCACCCCTGCGGCCAGTGTCCCACGCAGCGGCCTCGGCTTCTGGCTGGACGCTTCCACGCGCTGCACTTCACTGAAGCTGGTGCCTTCCCAAGGCTTCGTGTTCCCAGGGTGCCTTTTCTTACAGGCGTCCTCTGACTCTGTTAGTGTCTTGTCTTCTGTTTCAGAAAGACTCAAGCTGCTTAGTTTCAGCTGAGACGCAAGGGTGGAAAGTCGAGCAATACCAAAGAAACCCAACCCAGCTCCCCCCAGAAAACCCTACCGAAAAAAAGTAGCACAAATGAAATCAGTAAGGCAGGCCAAGATAGCACGGGTAGAAATATTTCTCATCAGCTATTACCGGTCTTCTAGTAACTAGCACTGCCAGGTCGGTAGATCTGTGCAAACTGAGCTATTCATCTTCCTGGGGAAGGGCGGAATCACAGGCTTTGGCATTTTTGGTCATAAGCGCTCGTAAGGATAGCTGAGTCCCACAGATTAGAAGATGCCCAAGTCAGTAGTCTGCTCTCCCTATTCCTTTTTGCTTTTCTTCCTCTCCTTGATGAAACTTTATGTTATTGCATCACCTCGTATTAGTTGTGTGAGCTCTCCTAGCTTACCTGCAGGTGTCCTGGTACGCCTCATCCTTAATTGTGGTTTATTTATTTTGGCATTTTGGATGTGGACTGAAATTCCATTATGCTGAGTGTTGTACCAATGCTGTCATAATGTGCCCTGCTCTCTCTGTATCTCTCTGGCCAAAGGGTGAGATAAGAGGGTGGGTGTAAAGAGGGTGAACAGGGAGCAGCAGTTTCAGATGCTGACTGCCTGGCAGGTGAGGTTTGTCTGGGTGCCATAAAGCCAACAAAAGTTCCAACACAGTATCTAAAAGAAAAAGGGAGTTCCTTTACAGCGTTGCCAGTGTGCCTTCAGAGTGCTAGCTGGCGTGGCAGAAAGCACAAGGGCGACTGGCCTTCGTGTCTAATAGTCGCCGGAATAGAAGCCAAAGTAAATACTTGTGTGGTGTGAGGTTAAGACAAATGCTGAGTCTTCCGAGAGCCATGTAATGTGGCGGAGAGGGATGAGCCTGTGGAAAAAAAAAAAAATGAGGTGGCAACCTGGCAAAAGCGGTGAAGAACTATCTTTGTAACAACTGTAGAGGAAGATCAAAAGTGCAAAGCCTCAAACAGGAGATACTGTAACATTTGAGCTATGAAGTGAGCGTAGCTGACAATTCTAGAATAGATCTGCATTGCCACAGTTTTGGAAAAATAAATAAAATTTATTGATGCTGGGCTTCCTGCTTGGTGCTGGGAGAGTTGGCTTTTAGTGATGTTGTGCGTGTAAAAATTAAAAGGACAAATGCTATGGTGATGACTAAAACCTGCATCCCGGTTTGTTGGCTAGGCAATAACCAAAGCAACAGCTGGTATGTATTATTTTATTTAATACTTCAGGACTCTGAACCAGATTACTAAGGGAACCAGATTCATGGTTCCTTGATGAATCCTTACTGTCCTGAGCTACTGCATTTGTCTGAAACTTTGCCCCCATACCAGCCACGCAGGGCTGCTTCCTGTAGGTAGTGTCAGTGGAGTGTGGGATTGGTGTGCAGGGAATTAAAGCCTGCTTTTGAAACTTTAATTATTAACTACAATTTTTTTCTAAGTTAAAATGTATTGGAAGCATCTGCATTAAATGAGCCAAAATCAGATGAAGAGGCTGTGCCTTTAGAGGCACTCTAAGGAGAGGCTGATGTTGCTTGCTGTTACTAATCATGGTAATATCTGTGATGCTGTGTCGCAAGCAATAGTGCTCTTCAGCACTGTGACTAACCATGAAAAATGGCATCATTGTACGATACCAATAAAGGAGCATGAAATGTTCATAAGAGGCTGATTCTGGGGTGCTCTTTGCTCCAGAAAATACAGAACTGAGTCGCAGTAAGTGGCACCTGCTTCTATAGCGGTGGCAAGGAGCGCTCCCTGTGCTTAGGTTGCTTCACTGTTTTCAGCATTCCTATTTTTGTAGTTTTGCCCTTCTGCTCCTGCTCTGTTCCTGAGGCAGATATGCAGCAGAGAGAGCGCGCTGGGCCCCAGAGAGTCAGTTTTGCCTTTCTCCATGAAAATGTAATTCTGCACGAAAATGTAATGCCGTTTCAGCTGAATTACCCCATTGAAAACTTGCCACTTCATTCTGCTCTGCTCGTCCAGGAAAATACCTGAAACGTGCCACGGTAGCTAAAGAAACGCTAGGGGAAGCTGAAATGACTTGCAGTTTTGAGGAGCGGTGGTACGAGGGCTAGGAGAGACGCTGAATGCGTGCGCTCCCTCTCCACACGGTAGAGCTCAGCACGTGATCTTTACCTTCCCTCCCTCTTCTCCATGGGCACAAGAAAAATCTGTTGGCTGGAATGAAAGAAGCTGTTCCACTCCCCCCAGGCCCCTCCTGCCCCTCTCTGCCATGCCCGCTGGCTTTCCCAGCTAACCCAGCCTGTTTGTGTTGTAAAGCTAATTTATGTAATCCAGCATAAGAGACGGGAACGGCGATGCTGTGCTTGCGGTGGTTATGGGATCTTACAACTGTGTGATGAAATACATATTTTTATAAATAATTTTGATTCACCTCTGTGGAGACAATTAAGGCTGCAGAGACAGGAAGTCAAAAATTGGAACGTGCCCGTTTTATGCAGCCTGAATTCTGTGTACGTGCACACGTGCCTCATTCCTTATGACACGGTTTTAAGTTACACGAGTGCTCATGCATTTTTAAAAACCTTTGTGGTACATTAAAAACATGTGGCTGGCATTTCCTAACTTCTGTGTCCTCCTCTGCACGACAGAAGTGTTTTCAAAACAGTTTTATGTGTTTGATGCAGTAATATCTAAAAGCTCTGCCAAGGCTCTGTTTTGATAGATACAATCCGAAACCTTACTAAAATTCCCTGGCCGCAGGGGTTACTAGCCTAAAGAATTACTGATTGGCCTCTGAACTAGAAGGATATTTTTTTAATGCTTGTGACCCAAAGACTGCATTGTAGTATTCAGCAGCTGGAGGAACAAAACGAGTCATTGTAATTCTCTTTTTATATGTCTTTAGCCACAAAACTAAGTGGTGTTCTTTTAGCGTGGTCCCTTGTACTAATCATGATGGCTGATGAAAGTCCACAGGGGCAGATCCCTTGATGCATCTTTTTAAAGCTTGAGCCTGGCTGCTTGGTTATCCTTCATTCAGTTCTCTTTTTGTGCTAGAGGTGCCTGCAAAAAGGTAGCTACAGCCTAATGAACTACTTGATTAATTTCACTAGATATTAATTCCGAAACCAGTGATACTTCTAAATATTAACACTTGTGTGCTCATCAAATTATTTAAAGAAAAGTGTCCTGCTAAGAAACTCCTGCATAACACAGTGCTCTTTCGGGATATATGTTTTTAATACATGAAGTGAAGGCTCTCTGTTATTTTTAGTGATCAGTTTTTGCGTATCTGCAGACAATGTTTCAGTCTTATCTTTTACCTACAGCCAAGCTCTAGCAAATATCAATTGTATGGGCTAATCAATCTAAAGTATTTTAAATATCTCATGACATTTTTTAAGGGGGAACTTTTCCAGTTCCAGAAGCACATACTTGAGATAATGATTTTGGGTTTTTTTTCTTCTTTATAGCAACTTGCAAATGGAGATAGAGGCTTTGAGAATGTGGAGCTGGGTGTCATAGGAAAGAAGAAGAAAATTCCAAGGAGGGTTATTCATTTTGCAAGTGGAGAAACAATGGAAGAATATAGCACAGATGAAGAGGAAGATGAGCAAGAGAAAAAAGACCTGTTGCCGCCTGTAGATCCTGTAGGTATTTTACTTGATAAATTGCTGCTTCTGGTTTACTGGGTAACTACCCACATTTTATACTTCAATTTTTGTGTCACAAATCTGATTTAGTATTTAGTATTAAAGATTCCCTTGATTTGACTGGCTCTAGGGACTCAGAAATCTGTGAGAAGTATTGAGAAGTTTTGTCCTGGAGTCCTCCTCCACTAAAGTAGCCTTATTAATTAGAAATGGGTTTGATTTCTTCATGGTTCTACTCTGTCCTCTCCAGCATTTCCCCCTCTAGATTTTGGGGTTTTTTTTCTTGGTGTCTCCTTGATTCGTACTGTTGTTTAAAGAAAATGGGGAAGGCATTTGTTTCCTTATGTGTGGTGACAATGGAGAGTGTAACCATACCAGAAATTTGATATAATTAAAAGAGTATAGAAGTGAAAGAAACAGATGACTTGCAGAAGTAAAGGAAAACTGGTGTAATTCATGATATAGCAAAAACAGGTTTTAAAGGACCTGCCTAGTCCATGTAGGTAGTGTTCATCTGTCTTCTAGGCCGTTCAGATGTTGCTTAACCTGTGAATGGAGTCTCCATTTATGGGTCCAAATTCAAGTGGAATTTTGGCAGTTAAAGCTGTCTCCAGTGGTGCGTATTGTAGCTGCTAAAATACGTTTTCCTCTTTGTCAATGATTCTGGATCTATACTTGAAGGTAAAATGAAATATATAATCTGTTTTATTATTTTGGCATGTCCAACAATCTATTTTGTAGTGATAGTGTATTTGCAAAGCTCGCAGCCGTGCGTGCCAGCACTGGCGGCCGCAGCTTCCCGCCCTCTGGCAGTCAGTCCCAGATCCACATCCCATCTCATCGTCTCTCCACATCCCCAGTCTCATGTTTCTTTTATGACACCCCCACGAACTGGTGTGTCCGAACCACCTCTTTTCTCTACCCTACAACAATTCTTACTCCAGTCAACTGGGTCTGCAGTCCTGTTCCCTGCCTGCCGGCGGGGCTCCCTTCCTGGCCCTCTCTGGGCTTGGTTGCCGGTACTGAGCTAGAGGTGGGGACTCTGAAATTGGCTGGGTCCTTCCTGACGTGCTGGAGTGCGGTCAGGCAGCCAGGAGCCGTTGCTTTGTGCCCCAGCTGGTCCTGCCCGCTTGCACACTGGAGGCAGATGCCGGCGTAGAGCTGCTTGTTCCCACACTCCAAACAGGAGTTCTTGCACACACGGAAATCAGTGCCCTGTTTTCTACTCAACCTTGCTGTTCAAATGATGTCTGCACCATCGTTTGGCAATCTGTGATTAAGAAATATGATTGAAGCTCTCTAGTTACTGTACAGTAGTAGGCCCTGTATTTATTTATATGCATAGCCATCCTGGGAGAGCTTGGCTTTGTTGAAGGAACTGCAGTGAAGTGTTTGTCTTTCTGCTCATTCTCTTCCGAAGAAGTGGTGAACCATAAGGGGTTTCCTTTGGGAAGGACTGTCAATCAGTTCTTGTTTTTTCCCACTCTGAAAAATGAACTTATCTTGAAGAGAAAAAAAAAAAAAGTGGTTTGAGGACTCAGCTTCAGTGAGACTGTGGGAATTCAGCTGGAATTGGGGTTCCTAGCGATTCACAGGTGAAGCTGTTGCATTTCGTCTTGGATTGATTGATGGTACCACTATCGCTTTCTTGTATCCAACAAAAAGTAACAATAGCCTGAGAGCAGGTAGGATGTCATCAGTGTAAAATACACCTGAAGTTTATAGACTGAAAATAAGCGTATTATACTCGCAAACAATGAGTAGATGTTAAGCTGCCTTGCTGGGTGTTGGGTTTTTTTCCTCTACTCAAAGAAGTGCAAGAACTGTGAAACTTACTGAGTATTATGGTAATATTCAGGTATGTTCAGAGTCAAATCTGTTCCCCGCTATGCAGGTTGTGTCAGATATCCACGGATGCATATGGAGAGGTTGTTTTTCCCAACTATAATTAGCAGGGGACCAGATCTGTATAGACATAATACAAATTTTTTGTGTCGTTGCCTCTCAGTGGAAGAGTTCCACTGTGGTGCAGTGATGGAAGGCTTGGGAGCCTGGATGTACGTGCTGTGGGGCCAGAGACGTGTATGCTGCTGTACAAATGGACAGTAAACTAAAGAGCCCTTAAACGTGTGCGGCAGCCGGGAATGCCGTGTGATCATTCTGCTTTCCTAATACGGAATTTTTTTCTGAATACCAGAAAGTCTGTTGTATGGCACAGTTAAGATTGCTTTATTCTCCTTTTATAGTTTATGCAATCCTTAATTTTTATTACACTTTTTAATAAAAAGACCCCCCCAAACCAGAATAGTTTATTGTGGAGCACAGTATGCCCTATTATGTATTGCTTTTTACCTTGACAGAATAAACTTGATTAGACCAAGGGTTGCCATTAAGTGAAGTTTACCTTATCTGCTGCATGCTTCGTGTATCCCAGCTGAGCCAGTCAATTGAAGAAATGTTAGTCCAAGCTGAGCTTTGATGTTTTAGCCAACAGCTGCCTTAAAAATGTTTTTATTGTAGGATTTCTATAAAAGCAATTAACTAGTCGGTTTGCTGAGACCAGCACGTCTAAAACTTGTTATCTCAGTTGGGATACAAAAAAGTATGTCGCAAGTAATAGCTGTTGCTGGTCCAATTTATTTTTGGAAAAAGCACATTTAGTATTTTGAATAGAAAGTTTGCATCATGAAATTTCAAAGCTCAGCTGGTATTGGCATCCTGGCAGCTTCTGAATGAGTTTAAGGGAAACAAATATTTTGCCATGTTGTAAAGAAATGTCTTCAGTAAGTACCTCGGTTTAATTGTGATTTAGACCTAAGCCGACAATGACAATGTCTTTCTTACTAAGCAAAGTAACATGTATATATCCTGGTAGTATGATAACCAAAGCGCTCAGTGAGGTGGTCTGCTGCCACTCATAATGAAACAAATTCTCAAAAAGAGCAGAGTGTTAAATTTTGCTTTGAAACAGCAATTCTGATACTTGTATAGGTCAGCACTCAGTTCATTAACATTCTTGGACCGGAGTGTCCATTCTGTGGGGTTTTGGTTTGGTTTTGTTTTTTTTTTTAAATGAGTTGAATCCAGAACACAGGGTACGCTTAATAATTTTTCCCTGGATTTTTCAGATAATAGCGTTCAGTATTATCTAAGAGTTCTCAGTTTAAAATTTAAATAACATAAATGCTTTAATTTTAACTGAGTCTTCTATTCTGTCCTAAAATTTAGATGCTTATCTTTTATATGTAAATCTCCTTTGCTTCTGTCCACCAAAACTTTATTTTGTAGTAATTAAATTTCTCTAACTTGCTCTAGAAGACAATCTTTCAGTTTATCTGGAGGGCCACTGGCTATAAACTCTTTGTTGCCTTCACCTATTGCATGAGTAGGCAGAAGGTGGAGTGTCTTTGAAGAGCAACTGTAAGCAATGTAACTGTTGGTGATGATAACCTTAGAATTCATCCTGAGAACATCTCTGCAACAGAGCTCCAAAAGAGATTTAATTTTATTAACCTTCAGTGCTTAGAAAGATTGAAACAGATTTTTGCAGGAAGATTATCTTGATCTCCTCTAGTTAAAAGGAGCTTAACTTCAAATAGCAAAAAGTCCTCTCTTGAGGACCGTCGAACTCTAATTTTCTTTGAAGAATTTGGGGATGAGGGAGAAAAATAGTCACTGACCAAGTAATAGCTACTTGTAATATGGTAGAATCTTTTTGATGGAGGATGGTGTGTGTGTTTCTGATCTTGTTTTCACTGGCTTGTCTTAGATGCCACAGTCTTACATGGTGCATGCACTGGAGGACCTATTATTAGCAGAGACCACTCAATAATTAAACTAATTTAAAATGCATCTTGGCACAGTGAACAATGGAAAAGTATATATTTGGTGGTGTATATTAACTCTTAAATACAGGATTTGTTTTGTCTTAAATCAGGAAATTATTCTTTTCCTCATTTTGCCATTTTCTCTGGCAAAAAGAAACCCTACGTTCTTTGGAAAGTTCAAGTGTTATTAGGGACTGAAATCTGGCAAAAATAAACATAGATGTGGATTGTTTAGGAACATGGTGCACTCAGAAGTTCAAAGGAGCATGTGTGTGCTCCCTTTGGCAGCCCCATACTACGAAACAAAATCATATTCTGTTGTTGAACCAGAGCCCTCTCGGATTTATCAATGATTGAATCCATTATGTTCATTCCTACTTAAAATGCAGCACTTGGATTAAAATTGTACATTAAAAATTTTTGTAATTAAAAACCAGTTGTCATAACCATTGTGTTTTCCATTTTAAATAACAAAATAAAGTCAGGATAGCTGAATAGTATAATGAAGTGTTGTAGAAATATATACCAAAGAGGCTGATGGCAGGAGAAATAGTGTCCCCTTATAATAAACCAGTGTCCTGTGTTTCATACTGCTGCCCCTTGTTTCCAGTCAAGAAATACAGTATTACTGTGTCCTTGCCTTGAATAAAGACTGAACATTACGGCTTCTCTGGCCAAAGGAGGTGGACATACAGTACCTGGGTATGTGGTTCTTACTGAACATTAGTAGGACCTGACTTGGGTACCATTTTCCAGTATTGCTCAATGCAATAAAGCTGCTTCACCGAGTAAGCTTAGTTGGTACCGAGCCGTTGCCTAACAGCCCTGTTCATATCACCTGAACAGTTCTGGTTTTCTCCAGTACAGCTTCTCATTCCAGTACAGTTCCCCATTCAATGTACATTTTATGGACATTTTACAAGGGCGGTCCATGGACTAAGGGAATGCTATCTGTGTAATATATCAAAGGATGGGAAGGGGGGTGGTGGTTAATGAGGATGTATTGGATAGTGTGAGACCTGAGCATGATGTAAATAGTATGGAATAAGGGGTGGATATTGTCCTGGTTTTGGCTGGGATAGAGTTGATTTTCTTAATAGTGTCTTGCATGGTGCGGTGTTTTGGATTTAGTATGAGAAGAATGTCGATAACACCCTGATGTTTTAGTTGTTGCTGAGCAGTGCTTACACTAGGCAAGGACTTTTCAGCTTCCCCTGCTCTGCCAGGTGCACAAGAAGCTGGGAGGGGGCACAGCCAGGACAGCTGACCCCGGCTGGCCAACGGGCTGTTCCAGACCATATGATGTTATGCTCAGTATATAAAGCTGGGGGGAAGAAGGAAGGAGGGGACGTTCGGAGTGATGTCATTTGTCTTGCCGAGTAACTGTTACACGTGATGGAGCCCTGCTTTCCTGGAGACGGCTGAACACCCACCTGCCCATGGGAAGCAGGGAATGAATTCCTTGTTTTGCTTTGCTTGCGCACGCAGCTTTTTCTTTCGCTATTAAACTCATTTACCTCAACCCATGAGTTTTCTCACTTTTACTCTTCTGATTCTGTCCCCCGTCCCACTGTGGGGGGAGTGAGCGAGTGGCTGCGTGGTGCTGAGTTGCCAGCTGGGGTTAAACCGTGACACTGCTTCGATCTCTGAGGTGCATTGGGAAACCACCCAAACTTACCCTGGGGAAGTAACAGTGGGGGAGGAAAGCAGGATTATTCCTTGGATGCGTTCCCTTGTTCCTGGTTGTTCTTGGTGGTTTACTCCCCAAGCCATCTCCTTTCTCCTGTTGAATTTGTGTGAAGTAGCTTCTCTCATGGTTTCCTATTGCCTTTTGAGACACTTGAAAGAGTGCTCCTTTTTTAAATCGAGGGGACTGGCATAAGTCTTGCTTGGTGGGGGTGAAGAAGTGTCTGGCTGGGCTTAGTCAGAAAGCAGAGGTTTCCATGAAGCTGGACTTAGAAATGTTCCTAACATACCAAACTGGTTTTTAATTGTGGTAGGGGAACAGTAGAAATAGGCAGAACTTCTGTATGTGCCGAGCCTCAGACGTTCCCTACATTTGTGTTACCACAAAGATGTTAGAATACTCTGTGTCTGAGTTACTGCTGTCACGTTGACGTTCAGCTTGTCTTTTCACTCTTAAATGCTAAGGGGTCTCTTGTTGCTTCTTGCTTACAGCCGCGCAGCAGGCCCTTGTTTGTCCTGCACACGGTGTGAATGCTTTTCAACCTTGGCACCTCATTATGAAGGATTGTACAGCGCCTCGTCAACGCCATTATTTGCACCTGTGGCAACAAGCTATTCCAGCACTTTCCTTGACTTCTTCAACTGAACAAACTCCGAAATGATTGTCGTTAGCCTGTCTGCCAACTGAGCACGTAATCAACAAGCTGGAGGTGCTTTTGTGCAGGCAGGATAGCAGCTGGTTTTGCTTACGCTTTTACCTTGGCAGGACATTTTCCATACCCACTGCCAAAAATACATAGCATCTGGCTTTTTTCAGCCTGCCCAACTTGAGTTTCTGGCTTGACAGATGATTTCTTGCTGCACTGATTTGTGGAGGCTGTGCTTCGAAAGCACCGAAGTCTAGAAGCTTGTGTACATGCATACTGAACCTATACCAACTAGTCTATGTAGCTGTATTATTTACAGTAATATTGGTTGTCCTGTACAGATATCTATTAAATAAGATCACAGAAAAATGGTTACTATCAAACAGTTTTTAGCAACAAGTTATAAATACTATGTAACTGAGTGGAGCTAATGGGTTTCATTTAATAAAAGCTGACACTTTTAGTTACAACTTTACCCAAGGAAAGTACCTCTACGGGGATCTTTACTGGGGGAAATACATAACAAAGAGTTTGCCTGAATACAACAGACTGTTAACTGTAAACATGTTTCAGTTTGCTGTGAAATTTGAGTTTGCCTTTTCACAAAAGTGAAAGCCTGCAGTTTTTACCTGTTAGATTGGAATCCGCTTTTCCCCTTCTCCTTTTCATTACCTGGCTTGTCGTTTGTTTTATTTTAATTTTTTTTTAAGAGGTACAGCCTCTTTCCTTAATGGATAGCCCATTAATTTCTAAATTTTCTTTAAGTTCCTATGTGTGAGTATCTCAATTTGTCTAGAGGCTGCAGTACTCCCTCTGTGGTGGTGAATACACCATAGTTGTGCAGAGGGCAGCTCCCCCTCCTCATCCTCCCGGCCTGTCCTTCCTAAAGAGTCTGTATCCCTCCCCTGCAGCACTCCAGTCATGCGAGCCGTCCACTGCATCCTGGGTTCCCAACAAGATCCTACCCCTGCAGCTGCACGAGGATCCCTGATTCCTTGTGTTTACTTCCCATACTGTGTGCCTTAGTGTGCAGGCGCTTCGGAGGGGCTTTCTCACTTAGTGCAAATGCTTGAGGTGACCCCACTTGAGCCCTGTTTTGTTCATTTTGTGTTGCTTGTTGTTCACATCAGCCCAGGCCCTTTCCTTGTCAGCCCTGTCCATTGCTTCCTTAGAGGGCTGCAGTAACTCCCTCCCTCACGGTTCCTGGTTTTGTTCTTCAGGTGCAATTCCAAATGGTAATTTGTATCTGGTTGTAAATACTTGGAAGCAGCCTCTTGCTCGGAGACTACTTTGAAGGTTGGGTTTGGTTTGGTTTTAAACAGCCTTTTGCAGTTCGCTCGTTATTGTAATCAGGGACTACTTGGTTAACGCACTTCTCTTCTTGGCCTGATGGAATCCAGAACATTATAGGGAGGTCTTTCTAGTTATAGGAGTTACTTTGGAACTGAGTTGGATGCTTGTCATTTCCCAAGTCTGAGAGTGGGAAACAAAAACCGAGTGAAACAAATGTTCCCGGATGTAAACCATGGTTATATTTATACCTATGGTGATACCTTGCTTCATGTATGCTTGGTCTGGACGTATTTTAAAGCAAAAATACTGTGCTAGCTGGTGAACAGGAAACATTGCAGGTCTTTCTTCTCAATCTTTTTGAGCTTTTGCATGTATTACTAAGTGCCATGAACATACATATGTATTCATACTACTCTTGTTCTTACAGACAACGCTCACCTGGGGACCCTACTTGTGGTTTCACATGCTGCGAGTTGCCACATCAACCTTATCAGGTACTGCTTTCTTTAATGCTTGGGTAAACCAGTAATGGAATATTCAAAGTCGCTTTGACAGACTATAAATAATCTTTGTGAGCTACTGGCCATTTTTTCAAAAGTATGAATGAACCTGTGTTTTAATCTGTGGAGACTCTCTTGCCTTAGGCACTTTTTTTTTTTTTTTACTTTCAATCAACAACTCTGGAATGGAAGAACAAACAGAAAATACCCCTTTGCTGAACATTTTTTCCCCTCTTTCTCCATATGGAGACAGGGTGGTGTTGGCAAGGGAGTTTATCAGCTTTCTATTAGGTTTTGTAGGGAACTGCTTTGTGTGATGTTGTCTGAAAAGAATGCTGTTTGGAGTAACTAAACTGACAGTTTTTATGAAGACGACAACTAGACTTATCCCAAGAACACATCTGGCCTTGTGCTTTACCACAGAATTCTGAGGTTACAAACCAAACAAAAGTAGGACTATTGTCAAGAGTCTTAAACTCACTGCATAAAGTTTATTTGACCCGTGGACCTCATAAAATTTTGCAGTTTTAAAAATGCTTGTCCTTGTCTTTGTTCTTCCTGAGGTGCAAAGTATCTTTATTGGGTTTTTTGACAAATATTGTGGATTTTCTGTCATTGTACACCTAATTTTGAATATTTCTAAAAATCTATTGCCAGTCTGTTCTATTTATTAACCTGTCCTTATTTTTAGAAACACTTTTTCTCTAATGTACAGTGTAATTCTATTCCTTGTCATACCTGTTCTTCACGCACAAAGGTAGATACTGCTCCCCTTTTTTCAGAAGTCTTTTATAAATTTGAAGATTAGTACTTCCTTCTTCCCACTTTGGTTTTGCCCCTTACATTTGTAATTTGAACTGGTCTTTTGCACAGAGCTCTGAATGCTAGGATATCTAAAAAATTAGTTATTGTGAATATTCATTGAAGCAGGCAATTGCTAACTTCTGACTTGTTTTCCCTGAAGATGACTAACTCATTTCCATCCTGGGGGCAGATTTGCCATTTGAAGTGCAATGTATTTGACTTCTTGCTTGCCTTCACTCAAGAACCAGTGCTGAAGCCATCATCATGGTAGAGAGACTGATGGACACAAGCCCACCTGCTCCATACGTCAGACTGGTCACTACCTGTTCTAGCAAAGTAGCGCTGCACATAGCCTCCAGATTGAAAAATTGAGACAGCTGAAACCTACGTAATTTATTCATCGTTGTTAGTATGCAACACAGAACATCATTGTTAAAACCGCTACTGACTTGATGTGTGCATCTATCCATAAATAACTCTCTGGTTTGCTGGTACCATTAGACTGAGGCGCCAGTACAGTTGGTAGCCATGTAGTTTTGTCTAACCTTAATTTTCAGTTAAAGTTCAGTTAAAGGCTTATTGTTTAACTCATCCCCTAGCAAAACAAACCTAGATGCAAAGCTGAAATGAGTAGAATTCAAACAAACACTACCACCATCTAGATTTTCATTGATTTCCATGTTGTTCTCCTTTTGTTCATTCTTTATCTCAAAGAATAATTATATTAGCTAATAACTACATATAAGTAGATTAGCCCAGAAGATTTTGGGTTTCTCTTTTCAGTGAAGTAGGACTATGGAAAACCATTCCGGAAAGATGATGATACCTTTTAAAAATAAAACTGTGCTTAAGAATTTTCTTCTAGATACTAATCATATGTAAACTCTTTATTTTTTAGTGTGTGATTTCCTTGGGGAAAAGATTGCATCTGTTCTGGGGATAAGCACACCAAAATACCAATACGCCATTGATGAGTATTACAGAATGAAGAGAGAGGTATGTGTGTGAGATAGGGTTCTTGCGCTCCTTTTCTCCCACCTTGCCTTCCCTGGTGGTTTAAAAAATGAAATTTGTATTCCAGCATTAAAATGAAGTTTTAGAACCTCTGTTTCAGCTTGCCTTCAGTTTTCATTTGATGTGTGATTAATGCTTGGTTATCTAGCAGCCTTTTCTCACCAGCTCATCAGCCTTAGAACGGGCCGGGTCCTGACCAGTGCTCTGTTTCTTTTGTACAATGCATTTTCAAGTCAGCAATGTGAGGAAGTTGGACGCAGCAGTTACTGGACACTGTAAAGAGGCAGCTGCTAGGAATGTAGTTTCCAACTCTAAAACTTGTTCAACCAAGTGTCAAGGGTAAATTGAACATCACGTTACCATTTGTTCTAGACCATGACTGGAAATGACTGATAGGTAGCCAGTGCTTTATGCAAAAAAATCCCTTAATAATGTTCATTTGGAAGAGATGGGAAACATAATGAGAGCTTTACTATTTTTTTTTGATTTTTGATAGCTCTATTATTAAGAGCTGAAAAAGCTTTAGAGAAGGTAGACCTATCACTATTGCTATTGACTAAAACCTGCTTATCCAGACATGAGACATTTTTTCTGTGTTTCTTTAATACAGTTTAATCCTTCTACTTTTGGTGATTCCCCCCAGACCCCCCAATTAGAAATCTGGAATATACCTCATCTTATGATCAACTAGTGACCATTTTCTAGTGGAACAAATGTCCTTGCCTTGTAATAGGAACTGGTGTGCTCTTACAGAAAGACTTAAAAGGGGATGTAAGTAAGCGGTAAATAATAGTAGCTTGTGAATCTGGTTATTTTCAGGAGGAAGAGGAGGAACAGGAAAACAAGATGTCAGAAGAAGCAGAAAGACAGCATCAGGAACAGCAGAACAAGCCACAAGCTGAAGCTCCTGTCCAGACAGACCAGCCTGAAGCAACAGCATGCACTTCATTTGTGAATGTAAACTTTGAAAATGAGGGAGACTGCCAGTCCATTGGGGAAAATAAACAAGATGTGGTTCCTGTCCCTCCTTAAGTGTAAAGCTCTGTATAACATAGGAAATGGGAAGTGTCACAATCTGGCTGTAAGATGCAGGAAAAATAGGATTATACATGTTCAGTGAAATTCAACTTCCAGCATTCTTATTGATCAGGAGAGAGCGAGGCAATGGCTGTTCAGTTGGTCTGCCTAAAAAAGGCTGAGGCATTCTGCCAAATTGGCACTTCAGTTAAAATGAAAATTGCACTACAAACATTTGGTCTAAAATTGAATGTGTGAGCTAATTTCTGTGTAAAGCAAGTAAAAATGTCTTTTCTTTGAGTTGCTGTGTCTCTAACAAACACCTGTGGATTGCAGATACAGTGCTGTTTCCTACTTCTAAACACCTATTTCTGATTTGCACATTGTTTGCAACTCGGCTCTCTATGAATAGATTAATAGGAATCAATATCCTGTAACTCACAAGTCATTATAATAGCGTCTGATTTTTCCCTATTTATTGTCGCTATTGTGTGCATGTATTTTTTTTTCTGTTGTTATTTAACGTAAGAGATAGTTAGATTTAATGTTAACTAGATTTAAGGGACCACTGACTTTTTTTTACTGAAAAAAATTTTTTAAGGAGGCTTTTAAACACACCTATGAACTTACTAACCTCCGAGAGTGCTGGTACTTGTTAATAGTGCTCTGCTGCTCCATACAGAACCAGCATCGGTGTAAGATGTTCTCAGTCCTAGTCCAAGACTTAAGAGAGCCACCTGCTTTAATAGTTTACATGCTCTGAATGGTCCTGGGAAATAAACTAAAGTCTTGCTCAATTAATTATACCGAAGGCACTGGACACTGTATGGTACCAATCTAGAACTGCAAAAGCTTTTTTAGATGTAGATACCTGAGAGTCAGTATACTTGATTAACCTAAACAGACTATTTGTTTAATGGTAAATTATCAGTAAGGGATGTACCATTGCAGTTGTTTCTCCCCTCTCTAGCACAGAATACATAAATAACTAGAAATCACAAGACCAAACTTATGATTCTTCCTTTTTCTTAAATAAACAAAACGCTTTGTTGCAATACTGCAACAACAGTAGTTTTTATTTTTGTCTAAGTGAAATGCAGGTAGCTCCAGAGCTTTTAAGTAGCCCCAAGTACCAATTAAGGAAATGTAATGGCTGTCCTTCTACTTGCAGCATGTAAAAGGTGACTGGTTTACTTTGTGACAATCAGGTGTCAGTGCCCCAGTCACCTTCTACAGAGAGTTGGTGTAGATAAAGGAGCAGAGAAGCTGCAGTAGCTACCGTGTGAAACATTACTTCCGTCCTTGAGATTTCTAAAAAAAAAAAGAAAAAAAAACCCAACCAACCCCAAAACCCCCAAACTTTAAATAAATAGTCTTCAGTGAAATTTTGTGTTGGGTATCATAGTATGTCCCTGGCCTTGGTCCCATTACCAACCAACTAAGGAGCCAGATGTAAGATCAGAGGCCAGGTACCTTGCTATTGGTTCCCAGAGCTCAGTTACGTATTTCAGACAACCCTCTGTCCTGGACTAGCGTCCTGTTGAGCACAAATTCCTTCTCCTCTCATCCGCCCTTAGCATTCCAGACCTATAGAAAATCTTCTGATGAAGATTCAGGCATCAGCTCTATTCCATCTGGTTTGATACCATTCAAAAAGGCAAAGAACAGAGTAAGACAGCAGGTGCTGACAGCTGTGTGAAATCATTCCTTAGCCCTGAACATCTGCAAGGGACAGCTTGGTTCAACACCTGGGGAATACACAGAAAACCAGCTTGTTGGGAGTTCTTATACTGTCAAAGGCAGGAAGCCTCACACAGCTCAAGAGTAAAACCTTTACTCTGAAGGATGCTTTGCTTTTCTGCCAAGAAATTATGTCAGTTGTATTTTTCCCCCCCCACCCCTCCCTACTGTCTGTTGCATCAGAAATGCTCTCACTGCCTTGGGTTTAAAACTTCTTTGTATAGAATACTGTATTACTCACTGTGCCTTAACTTAATCCTTCCTTCAGTTTTTTGCAAACTGTATGAAAGTGGTTACTTTCATAATGGTTTAATTTTTCTGTAAATGCATTAATTGGTTATTTTATATTTAATATAATTTTTGAACTGGGAGTTGGCTATGGCTTTTCCTTTAAAAGTGTGTGGTCTTTGAAACTTTATGCCTGCACACAGGAACGTGTGCCGGTTCACAGTTTTCATCTCTACTGAGTCACACGTCCTGGTGGAATATTCAAGCACTGAAATTCAAAATACCATACTGCCTCCACCCACCCTCCCCCCCACCCCTTACAATCTCAGGTAGTACCTGTTCAGGTACACGATGTGTTCAGCACTACCTCAGAGTGACAAATAACACAGGACTGCAACCACCTCTGGCCTGGAGCTGTTGTAATTTTATCTGAAAGTTGAAACATTTCTACAGCTTTGTTAGAAGAGTAAGAAAGTTTCATGGCTTTCACTGCTGCTGTAGCTCAGCTGTACAATTAAGTTAAATTACATAAAATATTTGCACAGAAGGTGAAGTTGGTGAAAGCCTTTATACAGGTGTTTGGATTACTTTTAACTAGACCTAAAACCAGTGCAGTTCTATTTCTGTTGATAAACCTCTTAAGAATGAGGTAACTATTCAGTCAGTTCAGTAGCTGGTTACTTATCCTTTCTGTTAGACACAAAGCTGGACACGCACAGAAGAGAGGCCCAAGCTCTCTCCCTCTTACTGAAGACCTCTGCCTTTACAACAGAACACTCAACAGTGCTGTTGTTGGGGAAGCCATCCAGAATGCAGTGATAGGCTTGGGATGGCCAAGTAGATACAGCCCAGTGCTGAAGATACCAAGAAACACATCCTTACTTTCAGGGTAAATTCACAGTTAGAATAGGGTATTCAAATAAGAATAGGGCTTGGTACACAGGGAAAAAAAAAAATCAAAAAATATTTATTAAAAAAAGATAATTTTTACCTCTTAAACAACACTTGCTTTTTTGGTTTCAGGAATCATTTCTGTGATTCCTGTACGCACCACATTTTATATGGGTGGGAAGGGGAGGGAAGTAGGATGGAAGAGGCATTGATTCAGATAATGAATGTTTCCAGCTTCCAACAGTTGGTGCATCAGATGGAGATATCTCTACGGATACAGTCTGCTCCTGCTCAGTCACGTATCATCAACATCAGCAGTGCTGTCATTATCGCTTGCCACAAGGACCTCTCTGTTCTCGTATGTCCAGAACCCATTCAGATCAATTAAAATGCTGGTAACAGTGTCTCCTTGACTGCTATTGATTAAGTCTTGAAGGGAGATTTTGTAAGGATCCTTAGGCTTCACCATATCAAAGATTTCATCCTATGAAAGAAAAGTCAAAATCGAAGGAAAAAAACCCCCATGCATTAATGAGCAGAATAACAGCTAATTTATACCATACACAGAATGAGCTTTGGGTAACCAGTGCCACCCCCACTGATTTAGAAATTAAAAAAAAAAAAAAAAGCTAAGTCCCAAATGATTTAAGATACAAAGCACAATAATTGGCTACAGATAGGAGCAGCGCCCTCAGCTACCACATCTCAAATAAGAATTTGCTTTACTGGAGAGGCTTTGGCCTCAAAGCGGCAACATTAAACTCTGTTCACTTGTATGAGCTAAGTTTTATAGAAGCTCTTGTACTTTTTTTTTTTAAGTACTAAAACTGCTAGATGTCTAGTAGGCTGTAATAAAGAGAGTTTTACAGACAGGTTTTTTTAGTCACCAGTCTGCACCCCCCGAGGGATGGTCCTGATCCATAAAATAAATAGACATACTAAATATCTTCAAGTGTAAGGCACAGCAACATGTATTCAACAGGTACTTTGTCTATCAGTGAGGAAGCTACCAGAACAGCTGCATACCAGATTTCTTACAGAGCAACTGCTGAATAGAAAGACATTTTCAAACCCATGAGTAGAACAAGTCAGATCACCTCTACTACACTGCAAGTAAATATAGAACCTAGAAACTACGATATAAGTTATGAAATGCTTATTCAAATATTTCACGTAATCCTGTATTCAGTAAAACTAACCTTGACATCCTGAAAAGAAACTGGTTCTTGTCCATGGATTTTCATTTGTTCCTGAATAGCCTAAAAAAAAAAAAAGTTAGGAATAGGTAATGCAGTATTATACTGACACTGTATGGCACTTTTTTAATGCTTCTGCATCTTAAGCTGTATTGCCCTGCAACAAAGCATTCATGGTATGGCTTGCAATCAATTCTCTTCCCCAAGTGAGGCAGGGGTGAGTTAAGGCATAATCAATGATGCACATCTCTAGGTTCACAGTTCTTGGTCAATATGGCAAGAATCCAACTTTCATTATGACCAGTGTTTGAGCACCCTGCAAATGGGATATGCACACACTTGGATATTGTCACTCAACACTCAAAGCTTAATATACTCAAATCAGAAGGTTCCGTTTTCTGACAAAGTGTGAAATAGGGTAGTTTGACACCGGAACACATTGCCCAAAGAGGCCACAGAGTCCCCTCCTTGGAGATACCCAAAACTCGCCTGGACAAGGCCCTGAGAAACTCGACCTAACCATGAAGCTGGCCCTGCTCTGAGCAGATGGTGGGAGTAGGTGACCTCCAAAGGTCCATTCCACCCTAAATTATTTGATGATTCCAAGGCACTTAAAAAAAAAAAAGTCTTTCTAGAAAAAGTCTTCCAGATAAGAAGTTTTATTTTTACAAAATTATATGGTTGTAGTCACTATCAAAGTTCACGTTCAATTGCAGACTTATTACAATATAGAAATAATGCAGATATAAGATTATGCCTTGCGCAGGCCTGAATGTTTTACTTAATTAGCTGAATGATGTACGTACCTTGTTCATCTTACTTTGAGCATACAGTAGAGCACAATGACTTTGAAGAAAAAATATTGAAGTGCTTGTCCCTCTGTCTGAATAGATATCAGTGAAGGGATCTTGTACATGAAAAAAGCATCACACCCATAACTCAGCCTAAACCATCCACAGCAAAAATACTATTTTGCTGCATGACATTTCCCTTCCCAAGATACCTCAAGTATCTATTAAAAAGAACGAAGACAAAGCAACAAAACATCCGCCTCCCCCCCCCTCCACAAACTGCCATGAGCCAGAAGAAAAACAAAACACTACTCACACACAAGCCACAATTTAAAGGAAGACTTTACAAAACTTAGGTTAAAATTAACAGCAGCTAAAAAAATTTAAGCTTCTTTTAAATCATTCTGGGATCAACAGATGAAAATACAGAATATGAAAAATGCAAGAAGCTTTCTGCAATCAATACACTGAATGAAAAATCACACAGCTGTACAGGCCCATCACTGCATTTCATTATTCTCATTTCTTCTACTGAATTTTAGGATTATAGTGGAAGTTAAAGCCATGGTCAATAACCAATTAGGACCATTGTAAAAGATTTTAATAGGTAATCATTAGGCAATTTTAAGACAATTTCAATTAAAAAAAAATCAATAGAAAATATTTTTCCTAAACAAAATCAAAGCAGTTAATTTCAACTGCAGATAAAATGTTGAAAATACCTTTTGAATTCTTTCCAAGTTTTGGAATTTTTTTTTTTTAATATTTTAAATCTTCTTAGAAGTAGTTACTAGCCTCCCAGTGGGTATTGGTAATTTAAAGTGATTTCCTGCAGATCTGCATGCAGAAGCACACAGGCTATAACACTATAAACACAGAAAATGGCCTACCTGTATAAAGAGACTTACCCTAAAGAAATAATTAAGGGAAAAGACATTCAGGTATCCTTTGTTCTCTATATCAAGCAGTTTGAAAACATATTGCAGAGCTGCAGGCTCCTTTCTGTTTTCTAATGCAAGCACAAAGTCCAGGTAGGTTTTATAGTCCTAAAAGTAGATACAATCATGTTTATTACAGTCTTCTTTCTAAATTGATTTTGCAAGCAGGAACTTTATAATTGGCAGCTATTTCATTGTAGGGGATCAGTCTATTTTCTGACAAAGACAACATGAAATAGAAAATGGCTGCTACCACCAGCATGAACAGAAAAGTTAGTTTTTAATGACTGCTGACGATAGGAAATCCTGCCATTTTAGAGGTCATGTGGGATTCCAACCATAAATCCAAATCAAACATGCTACATATACTTTTAAACAATGTGTAATACATCTTTAGATTGCTGAACATACACAACTAGTGAAGAAGAGCCATAAAAAAAGGCTTCCATTACCACAAATTAAATGTCCAGTGACAGTCAGCCTACTGTTACCAAACGGTGAACTATACAGCCAATTAAAGTATATATGCCTTAGACCAGAGTAGGCAGTTTGGCAAATCATGTGGTAGAAGCATTAGTAGACATCACACTTTTCTTTTTCATTAGTAGTGATTCTTGGTTTCCTGATCAAGATATATTTGTGACAAGGACAGCAATCCTTCAGTCCTATGCATTTAATAACCCTGTCTACCTTAAACACCACAGAGCTGTGCTGCCATTCAGAAGGAGCTTGACAAGATGGAAAAGCAGGCTGATGGGAGCATCCTCGAGTTCAAGAGGGAATGCAAAATCCTGCAGTTGGGGAGGAATAACCCCATGCACCAGCACATGCTGGGGGCTGACCAGTCAGAAAGCAGCTTTGCACAGACAGCAGCTTTGCACAGACAGCCCTGGGAGTCCTGATGGGGAACAAAACTGAACACATGCCAGCAACATGCCCCTGCAGCAAAGGCTGCTGACAGCACCTGGGCTGCATTAGGAAGAGCCTTGCTGGGAAGTCAAGGGAGGTAATCTTTGTCCTCTACTCAGCACTGCTTAGACCACATCTGAGCGCTGGCTCCTGTTCTGGTCTCCCCCCGCAAAAAGAGAGAGACAGACTACTGCAGCAACCCCAGCAAACGGCAACTAAGGGGATCCCTCCCAACCTCAGTGACTCTGTGATTCTACAAAAAAAATGCTAAAGTGTCAGAAAGACTGCATAGTGAATACGTAATTTACCACTTCTCGAATTAAGTCATCTGAAAGCAGACAATGAGAGCAGCAATACATCAAGTAAAACTTTCAAAATATAGATACAAGTTTTTATTTTAACTCTAGTTAGACTTCCCATTTTTCACAGCTATGGAAAGCTTACAACAAAAACCACTGTTGTCTTCATGAAGAAGTGGACAGGTTAGTAAACTTGCATTAGTTTCAAGTGAGCTGCTTGTCTGTGGTTCTCTTTAAAGAATTACAAGTAACTAAAAAGCACTGCTACATCTATAAGTTTTTTCAATATGCACTTCATGTTATTGAATCTACAAGAAGCTTTACCCTAGGCTGTCTGGATTTTGTATCACCTCTGCTTTTCAAAACAAGCAACTTGTCTTTAAGCCACACCGTGATCACCTTACTGTTAAGAAAATTGATTTTCTAATCTACTGCATGGTTATTTATGCGCACAACAACAAACAAGTTACTTTACATCAAGCCACTCATTATTTTAAAGATATTATGAGACATTTCCCGTCTCAATAAGCCAAAGCTTTTATACTGTGAACAAAGTGAAAATTATGATTACCATTTCACCATCGTAAGTTAAGCATTCCTGAAAGACACGATCCAAAAATATGTTTGTCAGAGTCCCTGTTCCGTACCGGGACAGTTCTTCTTTGCTGAGCATGCCATTGTGATCTTTATCAAGGTTTAAGTACTGGCCTAGGGAGGAGATATAATATACCTGTATCAGCAAAGAACGGTTTCAACAGAGAAAGAAAATTTAGCACTTTTTAAACACTTATTTATTTTTCATCATATAGTTAATGCAGTTAAGTGGGAATATTCTAGATCCACAATAATATTCATAGAGCATCATAAGCCAAATTCCCATAATGAGGTGTTAATAGTTCTTTCTACTCTAAGGTAACGGCTCAAAGGTAAAGGCTGTGTATGCAAAGAAAAGAGCAGAAGGTTAAGAGCATATTATTTTAAACAGATCTGCTATAAGAATGAAAAAAAGAGCTAAAGGTGATGCAAAAGCATGAATAGAACAGTCAAAAGAAAAAGTTACAGAGGAATCTTGTACCTTGTGCAACAAGCACAAAATTACAGAGGATAAAACCGTGGTAAAGAGCAACAGTGGAAAACCAAAACTGTAATGTCAGGAAGATATACTGAAAGGATGGGAGCTGAAAAGACAAGTTATGAGAAGGCTTTAAAGAGACAAAACCAGAGGAAAAATAACACTAGGAACATGACTAAGTCATACAAGGCAGAGAGGAGAGGGAGGAAAATAAAAAAGGCAAAAATATAAAGTTCACATAGAAAGGAACCTACCATAAACTCTTAATGCAGAAGGAGCAGAAAACCAATTTGTTTCCTGACTTTCTTTAGAAAGTTCTTCATCCCTTAACTAAGTGAAACATAAAGTTAGAATTGAAAAAGAGTAAATTAAAATACGGTAGTATATGCTAAGAGATCTTTACCTCCAGTAAGTCATCCAGGAAGCTGCAAGCTAAAATATCCTGTATCTTTATCTTCCCTGCAGCAAGAAAAGGAAAACACATTTTAACAGCCACCCAGCCAACACACCCATTTGACTGTTCTCATTTAGGTGGTTCTACTTAAGAAAGAAGTATTCTGAGCAGAAAAAAAATGTTAAAAAGAAACAAAACCAAACAAAACCAATTTCTAACATCAAGGATAAGGTGGTCATTTAAGAGATCAAATAAAAATAGCTTTTAAAAGAACAACTGAATAAAACTAGCCTGATAGTGGCCAAAAAGGAGTAATCCTGAAGCCTTAAAAGCCAGAAAACTAGCTGGAAAAAAAAAAAAAAAAGCTAAAAATACATCAACTCAAAACGTAAAACAAAAAATGCAGAGGAAGCATGCTTAAAACATTTGTTGGAATAACAGAGTCTCTTAAGTGATGTGGTATTTTTACATCTTAAACTACAGATGTGACACAAAGCTAAGGTGGCAGAATACACTTCTGCTAGTGTAGCTCCGGCTGGCGCACAGATGCTGCACAAAAAGCTGTGCAAAATAATGGCATTATAACTTCACACACACCCTCTCTGCATGTTTGTAATTACCTCTGCCAGAGGCTACTGCCCACACAACTCTAACGTCTTCAAGTGGCACAGCTAGATCTTGAAAACACATGCAGTTTGTGACTTAAAGTCAAGGGCACATGAAAAAGCAAACTGTTGTCTGAGGGAGCTACAACTGTAATAACAATTAGCAGCCATAAGTTCAAACCTTTCCTAATGAGGTTACATGGCACACACAAATTTAATCACAGGAGAAGCGCATCACAATAAGCATTCTTGAGCACTTCCAAAGCTCTGTGGATGTTCTGCCAAGCAGTTCCGTTGTTAGTTGCTGTGTTTTCTATTCACCCTAAACACTTGTAAAATTAGCTACTGCTAGTGATGCGTTGTGATGAAAATCTCCAATTTGTCAGTTTCTACAAGATACCCATCAGTTGTGGTACTGTAGAGTTATCTCCTAGAAATTCATTAGCTGTACAAGTAGATTATTAGATACACATGAAGACTCATGGTCTTCACTGAAGATTAATCTTCAAATACAAGATTGTTGAACAAAAGCCTACAGAGACAACTACATATTTCTTTGAAAACACAAACAGCTTCAGTGGAAACATTTTAAAGTGAAAATACTCTCACATATTTAGAATTTTGAAAACACGGACCTACCTGTTCTGAGAGGATCCAGAAAGAAAAAAAACTTCCTAACTGCTGTGCAGACATAGAAGGAGTAAAAAGATTTTTCTAAACCATCCAGCTGCGGCAAAGTAGGGATGAGTTCCAAAATATAGTTTTCTAAATCCTGCAGAATTAAGAAAGGAAAGAAAACAAGCTTTAAACACTATTGTTGTTGCATGTTTGCTAGATTCCACCCTGGCTTTCAATTATATTTTTTTAAAAATACAATCATAGAATCATAAAATCATTTAGGTTGGAAAAAGACCTTTAAGATCATTGAGTCCAACCGTTAACCTAACCCTGCCATCCCACCACTAAACCATGTCCCTAAGCACCTCATCTACCCGTCTTTTTAAATGCCTCCAGGGATGGGGACTCAACCACTTCCCTGGGCAGCCCATTCCAGTGCGTGACAACCCTTTCTGTGAAGAAATTTTTCCTAATGTCTAACCTAAATCTGCCCTGCAACAATGCAGGAAAGAGCATGAAAGCCGATGCAAAAGCTTCTGTCTCTGTGCAAGAAATCCTAGATCTATACATGCACATGTGATGCCATGAATGAAACAGTCTACAAATAAAGCAGAATGTTAACAAAGCAGATAATATTTACATAAAAATATAAATGCATTCAGCTGTACCTTTTCTAAATACCAGTGCATAACTCCCAGCTGGATTATCCTATTGCTGAATAGTCTTTAATCTTTCTTAAGTAGAGTGGTAACTAGAACCTTCTTATTTATTTTATAATATTAAACTCCTGTTAGAACAGGAGAGTAATTCATGGAGGCCCCCTCTAGCCATCTTTTTTTGTGATTTCTACTACATCCTACTAAATCTAGTAAAGTGCTAATGACATCAAACCTTGCTATCTATGATCTCTTTTTCAGAGAATTACCCATATGTTAAAAAGGCTAGCAGCACTCTCACTACCAAATCTCTAGAATATAGAGATTGCTATTTAGCCAAACAAATGTGCCCACCCCAAATCTAGATTATGATACAAGATTTTATAAGATAAGACTGAAAGAAAACTAGAGCCTTTCTGGTGCTCTGCCACTTGAGTACAGACAGACATTAAGTTAACCAAGAATTTACTTACTGATTCTCTGAGGTAGCCCTGTCCTGCCACGTCATATAAACTGAGACCTATTCTTGTCTGATGAAGCCATACTGTAAAACAGAGAACAGAATTTCAATGCAAGAAACCTAGGGGGTTTTTGAGACCTCACTAAAATTTGAAGTTATTCTAAAGGCCACAAGGCACTGTAGGACGTATTTCCCATTTTTCTGAGATTTAAGCAAAGCCATGATATGTACCAGCACTGCTCAGAAACACCATTTCAGTCTCTAAGTTCCCAAGAATCACTGGCAATACATGGTATGCTGTGGCAAGGACTGCCTTATAATAACTAGATGTGAGAAATGGCTGAACAGACACCACATTTTACCTGGTACATGAAATCTTATGGATTCATTCTCTTTCACTGACCTAGAGATATGTGTAGCTGCAACGTTTTCACTGCATTAAAAACAGCTGTACAATACTGTATACAGATTGCTTGTCAGATAGCCCCTTGTGCAACATGAGGCACTGCAGCTACAGCCAAAGGTCCTGCTCTCACTTCAGAGTTATAACAGGAGAATTAGAGTAGCACAAGCACGTATTTTTACAATGAGAAGGCGCATTAATTGGACAATCTACAGGACAGTGTGCTTGAGGTGATTGTTAAAGTACAGTAATGGGGATGGAATACAGATTAGGCATAAAAACTATTACTAACACACTCCATGTTAAATTTAACTTCCATTTATATGGAGAAACAGTTTAAAAGTTCCTCTTACAAAATATGAGCTGTGAAATGTTGAGTGTGAAATCTCATTGAGGCGGGACATGCCAAAATATCCACATTTGGTGGTTTTTTTGGGGTTTGTTTGTTGGGTTTTTTTGTGGGGTTGGTTTGGGGTTTGTTGGGTTTTGTTTGTTTGTTTTGAAAAAAAGGTATCACCATAAATACACAAGACTTAAAACTTCTGGGGGAAACAAGTGAAATAGAGAGCTCCAAAAGAATTTCTGTTGCGTCCATCTGGGTAGGCCTTTTTGAAACGCATACAATTTTCACAGACTTCTTCACCAGTCTCCTATCCTGCAGCTTTTGGGTTTGCAGTTTGCTACAAATGGGCCTATTACTCCTTTCTTGCACACTCTGCACATCTACTCACTGGGTTTCCCACTCAACACATCTCTCATCCTTGGCACCACAAGATTTTAAGTTAAATAAGCTAAGCTGCTGCAGGGAAAGGTGCCATTCTCACCTCCTAAAGGCTCTACCAGACCTAAGAATACACTACAGGCAACCTTCCTTTCTGCTAGCCAGCCTCATCTTTTTAAAGAAGATCTAACAGATTAAAAAAAAAAAAAAATGCATTTTTCAGCCCAATTGGTTATTTATAATGAAAAATGTCTGAAAATATTGTAAAGCTATAGTGACAAACACATTTAGAAGACACAGATAACACCACTCTGTAGAAGGAAAAACAGCAAAAAAAGCTATCTGCTGGACAGTCTGATCAGAGTGGTTAGAACCACACTCACCACATAACACTACTGTTTTGCTCTTCTCAGCACTACCTGAATAAAGAAAATCAGAATGGCAATAACAGATCAAGGATATCTCTGGCTGAGAGGAGAGGTGGATTTCGGAGGTAGGGTGAACTCCCACCTCCTAGTAACCAGAAAAAAAATCCCAGGCCTCCAGGAAAGCAGCATTAGCAATTGAGGGCTAGATCTCACTGCTGTTGAAGAGAACACCAAGTAGTTAATAAAGCTTGAAATAGCCTCGAAAATAAAACAACTTCTCATTAACACAGAAGCAGCATCAACTAACCTTTTCGCATGACATAATTGAAAAACTGCATGATAGATATCCTCCCATAAGGATCATTATGGAGTAATTTAGCAAAGATTTTAGCCGTGAAGAACTGCCTGTAAAACATAAATGCAAAGCTACTTCTATGCATCTGATTACATTGCACTGACAGATCCAGCTACAGCATCCAAAACCTACAGACATTTCAAAATACTGTTTTAACAATATAGAATGTGTTCTGTGTATTCAAAGACATCAATTTGGTACACTATATCTATCAAGTAGGATCCTACCAAGTAACAGTGGTAAACTCAATAAAAAGCAGCTGCCTTTGCTGCTCATGAGACTCTTCAGTGATGTGGGATTTTATAGAGAGCTTTCATTCTATTTAATTTCTCTTTAGTACAATATACTTGGTAGCTTCCAATCTTCGACAACAATATGCACATAAAAGGAACTGCCAGTACTGACACTAATCTGCTTCTGCCCAAAATTCAATCACAAAGCTATATGCACAACAGCAGTCTCCAACAGGAGCATAAAGAAGGAATATTCACTGTATGCTGTACACAGAACATCTGGTAGGAAATCTTCCATCAGAAGGTATTAGGGAAGGTTGGGCAGTATCACTGGAGACATGATTTCCTCTTCAAATACAAAATATGCTGTTTACTGGCCACTAACAACAAAAATGCTACTCATGGTGGTAAGAATTTCTTCAAAAGGATGCAGTACCCTCTTGCAGACATCTCTATCAACAGTTCCCTCAGTGATGTAGGGCAATACACCTTTGCAAGGACACAAAGCAACCAGTTCATCAGTAACTGCACAGACATGATTTTACCTCACCATTAAACTACTTCCATCTATCTTAACAACTGAAAGTTACAGCAGTGCTTAGGTTTAGCCAAAGCATGCACATACAAGAGAAGAAAGCCTTACTTGCATTTAGGTCCAGCTTTTTCACCAACTTTCAAGAAGTTCTCATAGTTGATCATTGCTTCTTCCCCAATCATTGGTGAGGTCTGATGTTTGTCCAGTAGAAACCATAGATTCTTAAAAGGCATTTATATTTGGTTAAGAAGATATCTCTCTGGAAACGTCAATATACTTAAGACAGAACATCTAAGAAATGTAGTAAAAATGTGGGTTTGCTGCAAGGTTACCTCAGTTAATCAGTACACAATCAGTTCAGCCAGAAAAGCAAGCCAACGATATTTCCACTGTTCTAAACTGGTGTTAAACACACACACTCTCTCTCTCTCACTAGGATTTCTAGGGTCACATCCCTTTTGTCTTCGCACTGCAGTAAACTCAACAATCTTTGGAGTCTCTCTGAGTAAACAGAACCTACTTCTTCTTCTTCTGGGCCCACTAGGGAAATTGTTGGAATGTGCTGGAAAACCAGAAGCCAATGATTTAGTCCTCATGTACATCATAATGAGGAAGCTCTACACTGACATTACCAGCCCTGGACTATGTAGCACTTCAGATTTAGCTAGTCCTTCACAACAAGCCAACATACAAAGCACCTTACCACAAGATTCTGTGGACAGACAGGAGATAATCAAACACTGCAGAAAGAGGAAGTTTGTCAGAAGCCATTACAAAACATACAGAAAATATCATCTTACCTGCAGCTCTTCATTATCCAACAGCTCCCTACTTTTTCTTTGCAGAAAGACAGCTCTAGACTCTTCTCTTAGTTTCTGAAGCAAGACTTCATCTTCAGCTGGCAACTAGAAACATTGTGGCGTTTTAATTTCTGTACAGTAGTACCATTCAAAAACTACATATATAGCAAGCAAGTACACTTATGTAGTCCCAACTCACACACAGCCGATGAAGCTGTTTACTTGACAGAAAATAACAACCTATATACCAGAATGCTGTATGGTACTTGCTTCTTTTATAGGGATATCACTTGCCTACGGTCTTAGACTATTTCAATATTGAAATATTTATTTGAAGCAGGACATCTTTAACATGAGAGACAGAGACCTACCTCATACCTGATAAGCCATCCAGTAAGCACTTTCCCACGATTGCAAGGTAGGAGGCCTCACACATAAGAGACATCTACTGCTGTGTTTTTAGTCAGGAGAGAGCAACTCTTTCTGTTTTGTGGTAGGCCTGACTCTCAAAAGCATGAATGTCTGCTAGATTTATTTTGGCCGACAAAACAGATGGAAGAAGACTAGTATGAAAGTTCTGCTGATGTTTACATGCAAAATTGTACAGTACTGCAGAACTTGGATGGTTGCATATGTGTTCATCAACTGAAGCACAGGTACTCGAGAACTTAATTGGCAGAAACTCATGATCCTAAGGAATACGGGACCATGTGAGGTTAGACAGCAGCTGAACGGTCAAGTTTTCAAGTGCTGGTAATACCAAGATGTCAAACTTGTGCTCCCATATTCCCAAATCCCAATCTGATTCATCTCACACATGTTGCCAGACCAAGCATTTCTGCTGGACAATGCAAGCAACAGACCTATCTTTAGCCTGCAAGACCAATGACCCACCATTTTCATGAAGCAGCATCCCATCGTGTCTAAACAGAAACAGGAAGACATGTATTTATAACACTGGAATGTCAAAATCCAGTTAAAACAGGAAGTTTCTCTGAAACAGAAAGAGGACTTCCTATCTTTAGTAAGTAGCCAAGCCTACTGCCTGATTAGCAAACTATGTCATGGCCTTTGACAAGATGCTCAGTAATTATTTGAAACTGCTGAAATCTAGAATTGTATAAAACAAAAAATTTTGCTTAGCACTCCATATCATTGCAATTTCAATCTACTTAACCTTCTGAAGCTGAAGTGTCCCTTTGAGCAAGCACAACTTTCTTTATAACACAGAACAGCCTCTTGTTGAAGTTCATCTGGATACCTCACTTACCCTGTAGTAAAATCGTGGTATGTTCGTATATGACGTATTGACACTTTTTCTTCCTCCTTTCCATTCCATGTAATATTTGGTGAACAACTCCATTTCTTCATCTTTTAGCTCTTGTTCGCTCTTTTTGGCTGATTAACACAGAAAAGAATTTTTGTGTTGTACTCCAAACAGTTTTAATGTAACAAGGAGTTTGAAAAAAAAAAATAGGTGGAAACAAATGGAGCATGGGCCTAGCACACAAATTATTAAACAGATGCATGGAATACATCACATATGCGTTCTATCTGAGCACCTACAAAGCACCTCTTTCAGTAACTGCACGCACCTGACTCTCTGTAGGGTATGCAATTGTAACAGATACATGCAGTTATGACTGACGAAGCAGCAGCACTCTTGTTTTACAGTGGTCACATTGCTCAAGATACCGCTTACCGCAAGTGGCAGCCTAAAGCATCCCTTCACGCTGTAATGTGAGGGACACCACTACCCACCTGCACAAGCCCTCTGTGGGCTCACTCATGGGTGAAGAGGTACCAGCCAAAGCTGCCACAGGGCTCCATGCTACAGAAGAACCAGTCCTTAGAGCACCAAGGCCTGCACGGCTCCCCAGTGTTCCGCAGCCCTGCCCTGCTGCCAGCAGCCCCTCAAGTAAGGGGGTTTGTTTCTCCACAAAATCATAGAATGCTCTGGGTTGGAGCGGACCTTTAGAAGTCATCTAGTCCAACCCCCCCCTGCAGTCAGCAGGGACCTCTTTAACTATAACAGGTTGCTCAGAGCCCCATCCAACCTGGCCTTGAATGCTTCCAGGGATAGGACCTCCACCACCTCTCTGGAAAACCTGTTCCAGTGTTTTACCACCCTCACTGTAAAGAATTTCTTCCTTATAGCCAGTCTAAACCTAACCTGTTTTAGTTTAAAACCATTCCCCTTTGTCCTGTCACAACCAGCCCTGCTAAAAGGATTGTCCCCACCTTTCCTATAGGCCCCCTTTAGGTATTGAAAGGCCGCAATCAGGTCTCCCCGCAGCCTTCTCTTCTCCAGGCTGAACAAGCCCAACTCTCTCAGCCTGTCCTCATAGGAGAGGTTCTCCAGCCCCCGGATCATTTTTGTGGCCCTCCTCTGGACCCGCTCCAACACTTCCATGTCCTTCTTGTGCTGAGGGCTCCAGAGCTGGACGCAGTGCTCCAGGTGAGGTCTCACCAGAGCAGAGTAGAGGGGCAGAATCACCTCCCTC